TGACCGCCATGGAAAAGATTAGGTAGTTGTAATGGACTTTTAGTTAGGGGAAGAGAAAATATTCTAAAAACTACCAATAAACTCAAGCAAATATTCCCTGTATTTTTCATAAGAACAGAAGTTAATAACCTCTTATTGAGTCGTGCATAGCTAAGTTGCACAGACTATTCACTTTTGATTGATGCACTATCTGTGTTGAATTCTCTAAAAATACTCTACTTTTGGAGAACCCGACACACACCTAATGACATCTTTGAAGAGCTCAAAGAACATAGACGCATAGCATATAATAAAATTCATTTTAAAATCTATACATACCTTGACTCATTATCAGTAAATTTGAGCAGGTGATCCCTGTATTTTTCATAACAAAAGCAGTTGATTGGTAGCCATATTGGACTCATCATAGAAATCCTATGTAGGGAACGAAGCAAACACTGTCAAGGGCGACGTCTGTACTCCAATATCTTAACTTTTTCCTCTTCTCTCATCAAATATGACAATGTTTTTTTAATCAATCACTAAAGCACCAAAAAGTTTTATCATAAAAGTAGATATATTTTTACTATGTATAAGTGCAATAATAATCTTCATTTATCTTCAATCATAACAACTTAGACTCACCATCAGAAGCCAAAGAAAGTCAATTCTGAACCAAAATCTTCAGAAATGACAGAGAAATATATTGTAGAAAATTTGTAAGAAAAAATAATGAAAAATCAGTTATTTGGTTCAAGCATACCATCAAACACCTTTGTTGCACCAACTCTTAACCTCAAGGGTAATATATATAATACATTGTTATACATTATAAATACATAACTATATGCTATTATCCAATATTGATACATTAAATAACTACTTATACAATATCGATACATAACATATAATTCATTATATATGCATGCCGCCATTTTTGCTGATTTTTTTTGCCGTCTGTACAGTTATGTAAGAAGATTTTCTATTTCTAAACCTCGTAGATTTTGGAGCTATTAGTTTGGACTTGGTCCATTGCTTCACCCAAATCCAACCTAATCTGCGATTTGATAGGATTGAGCTAAAAAAACAGCTAAAGTTCATTTAAGAACGAGATTGTTTAGCCTAACCTAAATAAGCTCGTCGACTCGTGAGGCTTAATCATGAACTGGTCCAACTCGGTCTGCGAGTTGAGTAAAAAATATTTAATTATAAAAATAAAAATAAAGTAGAGGACTTAAAATCTAACTATATGCTATTATCCAATATTGATACATTAAATAACTACTTATACAATATCGATACATAACATATAATTCATTATATATGCATGCCGCCATTTTTGCTGATTTTTTTTGTCATCTGTACAGTTATGTAAGAAGATTTTCTATTTCTAAACCTCGTAGATTTTGAGCTAAAATGTATTAATTCCTTTTTCAATAAGGATGGGTTTCTCACATGAAAAAAGTCCAAACATTTTACTAATTGGGGGATAATTATGTAATGACACATTAAAGATATTACTTTAATTAATAGTAATAAATATATAAATGTATTATTTTTTAATGGATAAAAACAAAATTAATATTATGATAGCAAGGTAAGACAATTCAGATCCAAATATCACCTGAAATTGAATTTATCTTTTGTAGCAATCACATGTAGTTCCCTGCTAGTATATATTATATTTCTTTTTTTATTTTTTATTTTAATATTGATATAAAAATTCGTTCAGGAATTATATTGGGATGATTAAATTTCGAATTCAAAGTTAAAAACATCACTTTTTTTCTTTAAAATACATAAAGGGTCATTCAATTTTTGGTTTAATCAAAAGGGACACTTCATTAGAGAAGGAGCGAGATATGTTTGTGCTATAACTACAGTTAACGGCATAAAAAAATTGATAATCTCGCTGACTTATGAGCGATTTTCTCTTTTATTTTATCTTTTTTTCTCGCTACTTATGAGCGATTTGCTCTCTATTTTTTACCCCCAAAAATCGCTCCACACCAAGCGAGTTTGTAAGTTTTTTTTTTTTTGTTATTCTCGCTCCACACTAAGCGAGTTCTCAACTTCTTTTATTATATGTCCTCATAGTAACCCCGTCATTAATTTTCATTTAGATAACGATAAAAAACTTTCTAATAATATAGAAAACATTTTTATTTATTAGTAATATTTTTTATAAATTGAAGTAGGATGAACATTTAAAAAAATCATTATTAGGAACAGAACGTGTTTTAAAAAAAAGAGAAATAATATATTTAATTGAAAAAAGACGGTTTTGACTTATTAAGTAACAATAAGAGCATTTTTAGATCAAATTATCAGAGACAATGATATTTTTGGATCAAACTATTAATTGAGGATATTTTATTTTATTTTCATTTTACATAATTTAAGAACATTTTTAACTTTGTTCCGTTAATTAGGTCATCACAAAATCCAAGAAAAAAGTTATCTTCCAACACATGTTTCCAAAAACAGAAAGAAATTAAACATTGAAAAAACAAAACAGAAGAAAAAACAGAATGTTAGAAAAAACAGAATGTTAGAAAGTATCATCTGTTTGTAGTTTGATCTTAAAAGAGTTAAAAATGTCCTTAAAAAATGCTAAATTGTGGACGAGAGAGTACCATATGCTATTTTTAATTTCATTTTAACATATAAAGCATCGTCTTAAATGTGGATAAGCAAGAGAACATACAGTCGACCAATTAATTAAAGCATCACAAAATCATTTTTGGCAAAAACAATTATGTTCAAACCAATTACACTAAAACCACTCTCACTGACAGCCCTGAAATTAATAACCAGTGTCTTCAAGTGCTTGGCAGAAATGCCCCCATCAATACCTCTACGATTATGAAGACATGATATATATATATATATAGCTTGAAAACCTTCACCACTTATTATAATTCCTCTTCAACAGCTCCACGTCTTTCATTCTCTCTGGAATCTCCTTTAAATTTGGACAGTCATCGACACCAAGACCTTTAATCAGAGGCATGGCACTTGTGACCAAATCCCATCTTTCTAGGTTCTCAAGACCATAAAGAATAAGGAACTCTAGTTGATTGAAGCTGCTATCACTGCACATTATTTCTTTTCCTTCATAAGCTCTAAACAAATCGAGATTCCTTAGGTTTGGCAACATTCCCAATATAGGCATCGGATCTTCTGTCAGTCCTGAGTTCTGAAGAACCATTATTGTGATGGAATTTGGAAACAGATGAGGCAGTTTCTCTATTCTACCTCTTAACCACAATTTTTGTAGCTTTTCACAACAATTAACAAATTCAAGGGATGGGAATGATTCATCACCTCTACAAAACAATGTGAGAGTGCTAAGGTTTTCCAAGCTGCTAATGTTGTTTAGGGAGTAAGATTTCCTAATATCAAGCATGCTTAATTCTCGAAGATTGACTAAATCAACAGGGTCAACATCTTTCCATTGATCACAACAAACTCTTTCAAGAACTTGAAGACTAGTGAGTTTGCTTATATGTGCCAGAGGTTCTGAATACCGAGCAACTAAATGTCTTAAATTTATCAGGTCAACTGTCTCGCTTGGTAGTTGGAAAGTGTATCTGACCGGATCGAAGACAAGTGTCTGTAGATTCTTGAGATTGCCAATGGACGAGGGAAGATCATGGATACCTCTAAATCTTAAGAACTTGAGTTGGTACAAACTCCCTATGGCATAAGGTATATAACCAACTTCTTTAATATTCAAGTGCAGCACATATATATGTCGGAACACATCTATATGTTGGAACACATTACAAAAATCTGGATCGAAGAACATAATTGACCTCAACTTCAAGTTAGAAAGATCAAGTGAGAAGTACCTTTTTCCTTGACTATGAATCACATGTCTGATACATAAAGAGGATATGGAGTGGCTTCTTGGATCATAAATGTCAAAGAAGTTTACTTCCAATGCCTTTTGTATCGCAAGATCATGGAGTAAATCATGAACCCTACATTCAGTAACTCTTTCCCAAAATGTATCTACCACTTGAACCAAGCTTCGTCTTATCAGCTCATTCAAGAAGCCTTCAGCGACATCCTCCATTCTTTCTTCTCCTCTGGGTATGAAACCCTC